TGCAGGAAACCCTAGCGAGGGGTCAAGGCAGCCGCGGCGCACCCATAAATAGGAGCCGGGGATGGGCCAAGGCCGAGGCAGGCCCGCCATGGGCTGGACGGAACCCACCGGCCCACTGATCGCCAGGCCTCCCTTCCCCCGGGACTCGCTGTCTCCTCCAGAGCGCGGCCCTTCACCGCCTGCCGAACCTGATTCCTGGGCCGGCCCGCGACCTCGCTGGCCCACCTCGGCCCCGGGCCCGACGCTGCCAACCCTAGCCCTCGGAGACGCCGCGCCACCCTCCTCAGCCTGCGGCGCCGCCGCCTCCTCCTCCGCCGCCCGTCCGGCCCCCGCCGACGACGTAAGGCACGGCCACTCCACCTCCGAGTCCACCGGAGCGAGAAGCGTCGCCGCCGTCCTAACACGGATGTCCCTCGCGGCACCCCCAGAGGACGGCGAGCCCCTGCCCGCCGACGTGGAGGGACGCCAAGCTCTGATCTCGACTGCGCGCGAGCCCCGGCCTCCCGGAGCGAAGCGGCGACGCGCTCTCACGACTCCGGGCCCCGACGAAAGCGCACAGGCCACAAAGTCGCCGAGTGACGGCCTCGTCGGCACCAGGAACCCCTCCCTAGTCGCCGGATCCGAGTCCTCCTCGACCTCCGACTCGTCCGCAGCCAGCGCCCAAAACCGACCGCCTACCGGAGCCAGCATCGCGCTATCCCTCACGGTCTGCCCCGTCCCCGCCGGAGAGGGCCAAGCGCCGCGCCTGACCACCTCCCAGCCCCCTGAGGCCGAGGCCGGAGGCGACCGAGGCGGGGAGCGCAGTCCGTCGCCTTGGGAAGCGCCCAACGGTCCGCTCATTTCAAAATTCCAGTTCCATTCGAGACGCGATGGGGCTCGTCACAGTGGTCCTCCCCTCCTTGCCCATCTACACCATGTACGCCACCACTAAACAGTACGGCCGGCGTGCCAACTGCCAAGTAGAACTAGCGAGCAATCATGAGGCGACTTAATTTGTTTCACCGATTCCTTCCATGCAGCTATGTTGCTTGGTTCTCCAAGTGCCTTCACGTCGAGTATAGAAGCAAAGGAATCGACGTGCAATGCCAGGTACAGTAAATTCACCTCCCATGCATAATCTATAATTCTATATGCACTGCCACGGTGCCGCTGACAACAATCCTATGTGTAGGCACCGTTCTTCGTGACCGGAGCCATGGCGTCGGGCTTCTCGGAGGCCAAGCTATTCGCGCCGTTGACGCCGACGCCCGACGACTACGCGCGCGCAGCGGCGCGCTGGATCGGCCATGGCGCGCTCTGCGTGCCCAACTTGCGGCACCAGATCGCGTGGTTCATAGCCTACGTCGTGCCCGACTGGTTGCTCGAGGAGCTCCTCCTGCGTGAGCACCTGTGGCAGAGGAAGGAGCTTCAGATGATGAGGCCGTTGCCTCGTGCCCCAGCTGAGACTCGGGACCTAGTAAGCTACACAGGCACAAGCGGCTGCCTCAGCTGAGTGCTGAATGGCTGCGTGCAGTGGCGGACCCAGGATTTAGGAATGATGAGCATGGCTGAACTCTAACGCCCTTCTCAATAAGTTAGTTGGAAGAAGTCATCAGCATACATTCTTGCAAGTTTAATTAACTTGTCATTGTCATAGTTGGCAAAAGATTTTTCGGATACGCACCTCTGCTGAGTAGATCTCTTAGCAAAATGATTATTCAACTCAACAATAATTTGATCAAGCGCCCCATTAAATATTTCAAGATGGAAATTATCATAGTAAGCTACTAACTGGCTGCCATGACCCCTCTAATCTATAACTGGCGTTTCATCTTCCATAATTGGCATAACAAAAAAATCATGATTCAATCCGACAGTTTGATCGTCATGGATGCTCTGAAGTTGAATGAAGCGTACACACTGGTGGCTGCACCAATTCTAGACGATTGTCGTAGTCTACTACAAGATTTCGGAAAGGTCACTATTGAACATTGTTTTAAAGAGACAAATATGGTTGCCCATGATTTAGCTAGCTATGGGAGGGGTAATCCACCGACGGTGTGGTCGGATACACCTCATAGTTTTATTCTCAATGCTTTAGCAAACGATGTAAGTTTGATTTGAGATAATAAAGCAGCTGTGAAGGCTTTCCCATAAAAAAAAGACAAAAGCCCTCTGCCTCCTCGAAAATACCCTGTTTTCCTTTTTCCTCAATTGTTTTCTATGTGGTATCGTTAAGGCCTACATCACGCACAATGTTTTAATCCTTTCATTGCAAGCATTACGATAGATCATTAGTCCTTTTCTAGAATTCTGGTATGCACTAAAGCACGAATACAAATCTTTCAGTTTTTTCCAACAAACTCAAATTTGTGGTCTTTTGTGTTGCATTGGTGTCATCATCACTCTGATTTGAGCTGATGAGAAAAATACGAAAGAGAAAAGATTGAATTGGATATTAAGACACCAAGAAACAACAATACAAAAAATGAACATTTTTTTCTCGAATACGCAAAGCTTGTGTATCATTGCATTGATAGAAAGAAGATTGAATGAGTACAGAAGGTGATACAACACATGACATGAACGCAAGGGACGTGAACATGGTGCCCAAAACAGTTAGGATTAGGAACAAAGAGCAATAGGAAAAACCAAGGCAGTTGACCATGGAACTCCAGTGCCTGGCAAGCGGCGATGTGTTGGCATGGTCAAGCTACTGAGGAGGAACACAATGGTGTGCTTGCCCAGTAACTACGGAGGGGTGCGATCAAATGGAAGTGGGAAAGGCCAAACGGGCTCTTCCATCCCAACATCATAACGCCAGGCATCGCAGTATCGGGGCTAGCAGAATATGAATAGCATGGACTCTATTTTGTTCAATAAATTACTATATAAGTACCTTATACAACATGAGCCAAACCTGGCTACATCCTTGGCTGCCCTTGGTGCCCAGGACAAAATATATGGCAGGCACTGCATCAAGATGTTGAAGATTCGCACCCGCGACCCACCGTAGGAGAGCCCAAGCAAGGCGGAATATGTTTTTTCCTTGCTTTTTCACTAGAGGTCTTTGTTCAAACAATTTTCTAAGCTCCTTCGGCTAGGGTTTCCTTCTTCAAACAATTTTCGGGGTTCCTTCAAATAGGGTTTCCTTCTTCTCCACATTTATTTCTTTTTCTTTCTTTTTTCATTTCCATTTTAGTTTTTTACTTCCTTTTCCACTTTTAATTTTCCTGTTTTACTTTATTTTTATCTAATATTCTGTTTTATTTACTTTTATATCCTTTTATTTTTTTAGTTTTCCCCTCAAAAATACATTAGCATTTTTAACGATATATGATGAACACTTTTATTTTATTTTTTTGCTTTTTTAAATATTTGTAAATACTTTTGAAACTGACAAGATATAAAGAAAAATTGCAAGATTCGTGACTTATTTCAAAGAATCATCAATATTTTAAAACTTTCTCATTGTTTTCTAAAATGCATGAAAATTTATTAAATTAGAAGAAAATATTTCAATAATTCGTGAACATTTGTAAGAAATTTTATTAAATTAGAAGAAAATATTTCAATAATTCGTGAAAATATATATAGGTAAAACTGTGTCTACCATAGCTTGCCACAGAACTAGTGAAGGGTCACTAAACTTTTAATGGTTTAAAAGTTATCAAAAAATATGAAATAAATATGGGAGCATCTAATGTAATAAGATGATCCAATGGAGGGATTGTCAAAATATGGATCTATGTGTCCTCGGCAAAAATAATAAGCATTTCAGCTCACTGCGATATAAATATATACTGAACTATTTGTTTTTTGTCCAGGACACATACAGTCATATTTTTTTAATCCCTCCGTTGGATCATGTTATATTATAGGTGTGTTGGTTCAGTATTTTTTTTCAGAATTTTTGAGAACTTTTGCACCGTTGAAACCCTTAACTAGTTCTGTGGCAAGCACTTGTAGAAAATCCTCTAATTCTCTAACTTTGCCCCTAATTTTGTGGATATTTATTCTTTAATATTCATGCACATTTTAAAATTGTGTGCGCATTTTATAATTCCTTAATAGTTTTTTAATCCTACGGTACTATATTTTTAATATATAGAAAAAATCTAGAAACATTGTTTTTGGAGGAAACCCGGCTGTAAATTCTAAGGGGAAAAATTGCAGTGAAAGAAAATGCTCGAGTGACGCAAAGAGTGTCAAATAGGAGGCCTCTGCTAGTTTCACCCTACATGTGTGAGTACCTACTGTCATTCCATAAAAAAAGCAATCCTGAGGAGTTAGTACAGAATAACAGTACTATTATTTTTTTCATGTTACAAAATAACAGTACTCATACAGTATCTAAAAATAATATAAACATTACTCATCCACCAACAAACTGTTTGAAGAACTTAAATTCTATTTGAATTCAGTTAATCATTTTATATTTTGCTGCTGCAAAACACAATGCATGACACAGAGCTGAGAATTCACTGCTGGTTGGAAACGCATTCTGCAGAAATGAAAAAAAGAAAAGAAACGAGGCTGTAAACTCCCATTACTAGAGCCGGTATCTAGTTAATCTTCCCGCTCCATAACCGTCTGCCAAGTGCCAACGTAAAAATTAATCCATGGGCACGTACGTTTACGCGGAGAAGAACGTTTCCCATCTCCACCGGAGCGTCTCTCCTCCCTACAAATACTTCGCACGCCTCTCGTCTCGTCGCCACACACACACACGCATGCACACTCGCTCGCTCACATCTCTACATCCATTCAGCGATCCCTGCACAGGTGCAACCCAACCACGCATGGCGCCTGCCTGCCACCTCGCGACGGCGACGCCGCCGCCGTCGTGGCGCTCCTCCTGCTCGCCGGCGGCCGGGGCGCCGAGGCGGGGGCGGACACGAGCGACTGCCGCGTCGCGCAGATCGCGTTCGGCGAATGCACCGACTACGTCACGAGCTTCGAGGACGGGCCGGTCCTGGTCTTCCCCCAGCCCCGCTGCTGCGAGGGGCTCCGGACCATCAGCGACTTGGCAACCACCAGCACCAGGGAACAGCGGCGGGAGCTCTGCGAGTGCGTGCGCTCGGTCATGGTCGCCGCCGGCAACGTGAACCCCCGCCACGCCGCGATGCTCAGCACCGGCGCCGGGTGCGGCATCAGGGCCAACTTCCTCCCATCCCCCTCCTACAACTACCGCTGCTCCCGGTACGTGTTCGTCTCTAGTACATATAGTCGCTATATATCTACTCCCTCCGTTTCTAGTACATTTTTTTTGCGAGGGGTTTCTACGTATTTCTTTTTTTTTGCGAGAGGGTTTCTACGTATTTCTAAATATAAGCTTTTTATAGAGATTGCAACAAGAACTACAGATGTATATAAACATATTTTAGAGGATAGATTCACTCATTTTGCTTCGTCTATAGTATGCATTAAAATCTCTAAAAAGACTTATATTTAGGAAAAGAGGGAGTAGGAGTATATATAGTATACGCGTTTGTATGGTCACACAAACATATAGTACTCCCCTTCCTTTGCTATAATAAATAATGAGGAGTACTATAATGAGCCAACTCTCGGTAATTGCTATATGAGTCGAAGCTCATATCCTCTTGATGAACAGTAAATTTAGAATAAATACCAAAACAATCAGAAATACGTATCAGAAAGTTTTTGGCATTCAATATGCTCAAGTGTGCTAAGTGCGTGCAAAATTTTGTGGTTAAATAACATTTGAGGAGCTTTTAGCAAAAAAACTGGGTTCAGTGGCGTTCTTTTTGAAAGTTTCTTTCACAACCTAATTTACTTTTGATGAAAGCTCCTCGAATCATTTCACATTTTCACTATGAATTTTTGCATGCAGCTTAGAGCGTCTTTGATGAAAAAAAGTTTTTTTTTGCAATTTTAATTGAATGTACTGTTCACGCCTAGCTGCAAATGCACTGGGCTCCTAATCGCTGCTTCCATCAACTCTGTTCTTACTGAAATAATTTCTTTGCAGGATCTGGTGAACTGAATAACAAATCATTCCACGGCCTAAACGGAGGGAATCCAATACCAGAAGACACGAAGCTTGCAAGGCTCGAACTACTTTCGTTTCCCTTTCTTTTGCGATGAGCTGGGAAGAAGAATGATTTGTATTTTCAGTTATACTTTAGCAAAATAAATAAATCGTCGCAAGCTCTGCAAAGTTATGTCACTGTTCAAGCTAGTGGTTGATGCCAACTTGACTTCACTTTTGGTTTGGTGGAAGAGAGTATATACATATCACTTAAATGTTATGGCCATATAACGAAAATTCAGATATCCCTGCAAAAAAAGCAATAATTCAGATATCACCAATAAGTGTGCTAAATGAATGTTGTGTACTAGTTTTCGATAGATAAAAGCAACTAAACTCCTCTTTATTTTGGTGCTTAGCTTCTTGTTGCTAAGTTTCTTTTATTAATTAGTCGTATTTGTGGACTGTAAACTGTGTTTTCGTCCCGATTTGGCCTGGTTGGTACTATAATACCATAT